TTTGTCCACGTCGTTGCCCCGCCCCCCACCATCTGGATCTTGTAATTACTAATCTAGTTTTCGCTGAAATGATCAAGCTTTAAGTTGGTACCAAGGTAAATTTTTCTTTCACTCCCACAAACAAGTGCGGCTCGAACAGGTGCACTGCTTTGTGGGTAAAACTGCAGCATTGTAACTGTTTGCACTGCAGTACTGCAGATAACGAAGTGACTAGATCTAGATCTAGATCTAGAATCTAGATCTATTTCTCCGAACGTTCGAGAAAATAAGCTTCAAGAACTCTATTTCTCCAAACGGTTTCCGCTCTCGAGATTTTTGTGTTATTTTCGAGATTTAGATCTAGGCGTTGTATGTCGGTAAATTTTTACTTTCTCTCCCACACACAGAGATGCACTGCTTCTGGGTCAAACTGCAGTACTGTAAGTGTTTGCTGCAGATCAAGAAAATTTCAAATATAACTATAGAATATCGAAATGTGGGTTAAAACAGCCCCCCGCCCCCCCCCCCCCCCCCTCATAAAACCACTAAAACTGTCACAAATCAATTATTCTCAAGAAAATTTCAAATATCAGGTCCTAGATCTATAAAATCTAAATATATGTGTTAAAACAGTAGCCCACCCCCCCTTGCAACCCCCCAGATTTTCTTTTACCTCAGGGGGGCAGGCCCCCCGATTAGCTCAAAGCACGTCTATTTCGATTAAAAAAACAATCAGATATTTGAAAAACTATTAATTTGCGACAGAAATTAACTTGATATAATTAGTGTTCAGTGCATCAATATTTAGACTAATTAATGGACAACTGGTAGCTAAGTGTGAGGAGACGGAAGGGAAAGTAAAAAAATACTGATCTAGTTGATAAATCATAACGAGTCGTTACACACATTCCTGGGTTCGAAAGGAAATAGTGTAGGTCAATGTTCGTACGTTTTGTGTTCTTCTTTTTACCTCTACACTATGGTATTCAAAACTACAGTCGAACCTGCCTTAACGGAAACCTGTGTAAAACGGAAACCTGTCTTAACGGAATCTTCCCGCTCTCCCCTTGATATATTCCTCTTTAATTACCTGTATAAAACGAAACCTGTCCAACGCGGAAACGGAAAGAAAAATACGCTCCCTTCCGAGGGTTTCATCTGTCTAAAACGGAAAATGCTTTGCCCGCTCGGCCCTGATTTGAAACAAAATTCGCAAGTTGTGTGAGGAAGGGGAGTAGGGGTGCAATTTGGGGGTAGATGTTACCCCATCATGTGAGCCCTGAGCGATGCAGATGGTCAGTGTAGTGTGGGTGTGAAATCTCACGACTGCCTGTCATAGTGCTCAAGTAGCGAGCCACTACGGAAACTTTCCTGGATAGCTAGAAGCCAGAGGTGTGAAATTAAATTGACCAATCCTGCCGCCCTGATCGCACAGCCAGCCGAGAAACAAGTTCCTCAAATCGTTGATACAATGATGGCAGTGAGGGATGGCATTGGTGGGTGGGACTAAGGGAGGAAGTAAAGGAGATGCTCAAACGTTTGTGCTTTTAACAGGTCAAACAGTAGTCCTATGAAAGGCAAGCACTGGTGGTAATTGGATACACGTAAGACTGACGCTTGTCATTATCAGACAGGATAGCAGCTGAGAGATGTGAAGTTTTGACCACTGCTTGCCGATTGGACAAGCGATCCTTGATCCCACCGACGGGGCCTTTGACCCCCCCCCCCCCCAACCTCCACATCCCCCCTAAATTCCCCTGTCTAAGACGGAATTTTTTTCCCGCTCCCTCGCGATTCCGTCTTACACAGGTTTGACTGTATCTATAAAAACTTTTGTAGGTAATCATTTTGCATAAATTCAAGTTCATGAAAGATTTTGTGTTCATACAGTAAAATGGAAGTCTTGTTTCCTGGCTCTCCTTTCGAGCTCCTCACGTCTAAGTGGGTCAATTTGTTCTCTAAGCTTGATTTCATTAGACGAACATCTAGAGCTATCAACTTCAACTTGGCATGTTTTGAATGAGGCCTGAGATGTAGGCTAGCCTATGCTTCGGTGTAGAACCAACACTGGCAATTCTAGAAGTAGGCCACAAACACACACAAAACTCAACGGAAATACGCTTTTATATATATATCGGGGAACATAAATCCGGAGTACACGGGATCGGGAGATAGGGAGAGAGAGAGAGAGAGAGAGAGATACACACTCACACACACACACACACACAGAGGGACAGAGAGGCATGAAGCGGAAGTTCACGAACGCAGAACGCCTTGCACACAGAGGCTCTACTCATCAACGCAAAAGAGCTCCTATTTACTCTGTGGCAATTGACGTTGGCGTCAACTGTCACCACGTCACTCAGTGGCAATTGACACTACCCAAAAAAATCCCTCTGGTACTTAAAAGAGACAACAACCCATTTAAAAAAGTGGGAGAAAAATATTCTTGTGTCAAGTCACACTGCATCATTCTTTCTGATCTCAGGATGACTAAATCGCACTAATAGCACCATAAAACAAACTCAAGCAAACAATACAATCTTGAATTGATAGTATTACCATAAATTATGATAAAGCATACTCAAACAACTTTTTCCCTAGGTGTACCACCAGTGCAAGGAGCATGAGTGGACGCAGTACCTGGACGCCCCTCTTGTTGACTTGACCCTGTACTATGAGACTCTCTGCCCTGACTGCCAAAACTTCTGGAAGGGTATGCTCTACCCGACCTACCAGAAGATAGGATCCATCATGAACCTCACTGTTGTGCCCTACGGAAATGCCAGGGTAAAGCGAGTAGAAGTCTTAAAAGTAAAAGTAATTCAACCAAAATTCTCCAAGATGTTCACTAGTTGTCAAGGAGAAATATGGCTGTTTTAGAGTTCAAATTCAGTGGATTAGGTTTTTGGTGCGGCTTCTGGCATATTTACAGAATAATGTCAGTTTTTTGCTGACATATGGTCAAAGAGGTGTGAAAAGTAGGCTACTCTAAATGCCTTTCGGCTCACAGAGTTCTCCTGGATCTGTCTCATTTTGGATTTTGTTTATGAAAAAAAAAACTACTTTTCATGTCATGTTATCGAAACAAAAGGCTGACGACGAACCGAGAACCAAATCCTTTGTGTTTGCACTTATTATAGATAGGTGGACGTCTTTGACAGGGTTATTGTAGTTTTTTTTTAAATGCAGAGGGGGAAGTGGTCCTTTGCTCAGCTGATTGTCTTGATCAGGAGGCTTTTGTAGTTCTTTTATCTTCCTTTATGTCCCCATAAACTGAAGGATCACATGACTTCAAAACAACTCCGTCTGAGCTGACAGGTTCTTCCCACCTCTCAGGCCCCAGAGTGACATCTGCTGTGGTGTTCATATATAAAGTACAGCATCATCAGTAATTCTTTAACCATTTATCCACCCGTGCTTATTTCCATGTTCTTTTGAATCTGAATGTTGATCAAAATGGTCAAACGCGTCATCGATAAGACCAAGTATGACGTGACTGCACAAGATAAACGCAAGTCCTTGAACATGAACTGAGTGAATTGACAAAATATATAATATTATTGTACATGATATGCGCATACTTAGATGTTTCTCAAGGTATTGTGTTATTTTTCAGGAATACAAAGATGGCGACCACTGGCGGTTTGATTGTCAGCACGGGGAGGAGGAGTGCCTGGGAAACATTATCCAGGTCAGTCTCAGACTAATGTGCTCAGTGGAGTTGTTGTCTACACTTAAAGGTAGTGTCGATGTACTCTTTGATTTGTTACCAGGAAGGATGTACATTCTAGGTATGTCTTATTTTATTAACGCTAAGGGGTTTTTTGTGTCCATCTTTGTAAATTATTTATGTTTTTGCTTTTTGTTAATTATGCTGATGCCTTGCATACTCACTGGTATCTGTGGTCTAGTGGTTAGGCACTTTAGTGTCGCACTTGGAAGATTTGAATGTAATTCCCATTTGGTGAGAATTTTTATTGAGTATAGATCAATATCTGTCTTTCCACTAGGATGTTGCATACCTCTCAGCCTGAGTCTGTCTGCTGGGATGTTGTATCCCTCTCAGCCTGGGTCTGTCTGCTACAAACAATTGTAGGCACAAAAAATATAACTTTTCAGTTTCCTAGGACTTTCAAGCTATGGAAGTTATCAAACTTTGGTAACAATTTTGTCATTAATTTTAATTCTGAAGCCAGACAACACCCGCCTCCTTCTTTCGCATATGTCTTGATTTCTATTCAGGATAGATGGGTATTTTTTGTTATTTTTTGTGGGGGGGGGGGGGGTCATGGTGTTGAGTTTCAATACTCCAGGGAAAGTCTACTTGTTGCAATGAATTCAGAAAAGGAGATCTTTTAAATCTAAAAATCATAATGAAAGCTTTTGTCAAATAGTGTCTGATTTTTGTTGGGCAAATTAACCCCTTAGCTCTGTGACTGACACTCAAAAGCAATCTAGTGGCAGGCTACATCCCATGGTTAAAAGGCTGTACATGGAGTCATTGCTTTTTCCCAGTTTATTGCACATTGGATAGGTTTTTTTCTCATGTTTCCTATTTTCCCCACTCAGTGCTTGTTGAGCACTATGGTACTGCTTCACTTGTCAAGAGCTCAGCACATTTCAGATCTAACAAAGATTATTACAATTACTTCGGTGTGCGGCTCCGCCATACGCCATTTAAAAAACTGACATATGACGGAAGTTGTACACTGAACAATCGATTTACTCATATGTGTCGTGACGTAGTAGATTCAGGCGCTCGTCAATTTTTGGGCATATGGAGTTATTGATGTCATCTTAAGTATTGTTCATTGGCCTTGCTTTTGATGAAAAAAATATCAGTTTATCTTGAAAAGAAGTCGAGATATTTGCGATTGAAGGAGGTGGGGTCGGAAGGTTTCAGAAGGCGAGAAAATGGCCGCCAAATTTTAGTGACTTCCATAGCGTCCTTGGAAACTAAAAATTGTTGTGCCTCTGTTTTTCCATAAAATCCATACATTTAAGTGTTTTTGATTGGACATGCAAGGAGTTAACCAAAAAAACCCAAATTTCGAAAAAAAAATTCCAAACTCTCCGAAAATGGCAATTTCTCTCAGATATCATTATTTTGACGAGCACCTGATTTCACCATGATGCCTCGGGTATATTCTGTTCGTGATATGTTTGCAGATTTGTGTATGATGAGGTCCCTGTTTGTCTCTTTTTTTTCAGACGTGTGCCATTGCCATTGTACAGAATAAATCGGTGTACATTCCATTTATCCACTGTATGGAGACCTCTGGCATTTCTGTGAAGTCAGCAGCTGAGAAGGTCAGGGCCCTACCTTCCTATTCTGATTTTTAAGTTCATCTTGTTTTTTTTAATTCATTTACTTTTTTCTTCACTTTTTCTTCGTTTATTTGTTTGTTTATTCATTAATTCTTTTAAAATTCATTTATTTGTTAACTTATTTATTTGTAAAAATTATGTTATTTGATTTTAGATTAATCTTTAAGAACAATTTATTTGTTGTTCTTTTAAAAACCCATAGATCTAATCATCTATTTCCAGTGGGGTGTAACTTTGCATCTCATTGAGAGCCACTCACACAGTATTTAATATATACAGCTTACAAATATCCATGTCGATAATAGATTTTTCATGCTGAGTTCATGCGACGTTTAACTTTCAAGAGAAAAAGGATTTGAGCAGTGTTTTTCTGAGCTGGATTTACACCCCTTTCAGATCGTCATTACATGTAAATGAGCCTGGATTAATGATGCTTACGCATTTCCTTAATTAATAGGACTAGCTTGTATGTTGTTGGCAGGTGTACTGATGGGGTGTCCTTTTTTCTTGTCAAACACCTGTCATCTTTATCTCCCCTCCTTCTTTCCTGTATATATATTACTCCATAAAGTGAGTGGTTGGCAGGTGCTCTGGTGTGTTTTGCTTCGTCTTTCCTATGAAACACCTATCGTCTTTATGTCCCCTCCTTCTTTTTTGTGTTTGTTACACTCTCTTGTAACACCTCGAATGTTCGTCCTATGATCTTATTGTGTTGCAAGTGCCGTAAAACTCTTACTAAAACTAACTCTATAGTAACACCTCTTATCTTCAGCAGTGGTATGACTTATTTGTGTTGTACAAGCTGTACTCTCTAACTAAAACTTCACCCTGACAGCCTCATATTTCAACCCCCCCCCCCCGGGCGGTGCTACTGACTGAAGTGTCTTTAGGCCATTCCCAAAGGGGGAGGACATTAATATCTTGAGTTCTTATGCGCAGTAGAATTGTAACTGTAAATGGGCTGATTCATCAATGTCATGCTCATAATTGTGCCTGAACTGCAACAGGGAACTGCTGCTTTTTCTTTCCTAATCCTTACTATCGTCATTTTCCCTCTACTTCTTTTGTATGTTTGTCACACTCTCGTGACCTGCTATTTCCGGGGTGCCTTGATAGTTGAAGCAGACTTTGTAGCTGGAGAGGTGAGCAGAGCAAGCCTGATTCCCTGTAAGGACTTCTTTGTTGACATCCACCCCTTGGCACTCACATGACCTTATGCAGTTGCTAGCGTCGTTAAACCTCAACTAAAGCAAATTTTAAAAGGCCTCATATTTTCCTCAATAGTTCTTGTTCCCCAGCCGTGTAAATAACTCTCACCTCAAACCCAGTCACATATTTTTGCTATAATCGGTACAATTTTCTCTGAAAAATATTCTGGGTGCTGTCTTCTAAAACTTCGAACAAAAGAAGCATAAATTTTGTTTTTAATGTCTGAAAAAAATTACAGAGTCAATATTGGCTGGACCTGGGGGGATGGGGAGGGGTCCAGTTTTGCTTGAGCCAATGGGGCATGAAGGCTTAAATAGACCTGTTCCGTATGGATCTAAAAAACAAACAAAAAAAAAAAAGCTAGGACTGTTCAAAGTTTCTGGACAGCCATGTACATGTGACTAAAATATACAATCAAGTCAAGGTTGATAGGCAGGAGGCAGTGGGTTTTTTTTAATTGCACAGATAATTGGATTATTCATGGTAGCCCAGGGCTGTTTGTTTCACGGTTATCTCAATTGGGTCTGTGTTTATCACCCACTCGTTATCTCGAGTCAATGTTTATCACCCACTCAGCCATCCTCATCTTTGAACGATCTGTCGTTTGTTTGCTGGTCTCTTATCTCATTGCCCTTAACATTGCTGTAGTCAAAAGTGATGAAACACCTACGTACGTGCTTACCTATTAGTGCCATGTTTTTTCATTATCCTTTAAGCTTTTAAAACCGTATTGTCGAAATAAAAGGATATTGATTGTAAGCACATGTGTATGAATATAATGTGTCCTTGTGTGTATATGTTTGATTTTCTTTTTAAAGTGTTGTTTAGCACGCTTTTGGCTACTAGCTTATATAACTATTGTGTATATTCACACACATACATACTCATACACTTTCAACTTTGAAATTACATAAATTGTTACTCCTTATTAAGCTGTGGGACTTTTATAGAATTATGGGTGTGTGTGTATGCATGTGTATGTGTGTTTGTTAATTTATTTGTATTCTTTTCTTTCAAACTCCTGTTTAGCGTTGAGTATACACATATGGGTATGTGGGTGGTTGGCGGGGGCTCTGGTGTGGTTTGCTCCTTCTTTCCTATCAAACAACTATTGTCTTTATCTCGCCTCCTTTTCGTGTTTGTTACTCTCTTGTAAAACCTCTAATCTTCAGCTTTTATATTATGACCTAATTGTGCTGTAAGTGCCATAGAATGTTAGCCCAACTGTAACCCCCCCCCCCCCCAAAAAAAAAAGACCCCCAACAAACCTGCAGCTTAATGACAAGGACAGTTTTAGTTTCAAATTGTATAATGGACATATCATACATGCATCCACTCACACCCTCCACCCCTCTTGCCCTCTTTCTCACCTCTTATCCTCTCCATGGATGGTTGTCAGGCTCTCTGATGTGGTTTTCTCCTTTCCTATCAATACTATCATTAATCAAACATCTGTCATAACTATCTCTCCACCTCATTTTCTTGGTTTGTTACTTTCTAGTAGCCCGTTCTCTTAAACTTCTGCACTTATATAAACTATTTGTGTTGCAAGTGCCATAAAACTCTTACTAAAACTAAAAGAAAATAAACTTATCTCTTACTCTCTTGTAACAACTCTAATCTTTAGCACTTTTTTATGACCTATTTGTGTTGCAAGTGCTATAAAACTCTTACTCTTACTAAAACTAAAAGAAAATAATGCTGATAATTGAGTGCTTTTGATATGAGTATTCGCTCTGAAGGCTTAATAACTTGTATGTTACTCTCTAGTAACGGTAACGTCTAATCTTCAGCACTTATTTTACAATGTATTTGTGTTGCAAGTGCCATCAAACTGTTACTAAAACTAAAACTAGATGTTACCTTATGTTCCTTGCACAGTAACTAGCACTAACTAAATATATTCTTTGTGCAGTGCGCCAAGCAGTTCCCAGTTCCCCTGGGAGAGATCATGAACTGCAGCACCAGCAAACGAGGCAACGAGCTAGAGCATCAGATGGCCGTCAAGACCGATGCCCTGAAACCACCACATCAATATGTGCCTTGGGTGACTCTAAATGGGGTGAGTGAGTTTGTGTTTGTGTGTGTGTGTGTGTGTATGTGAGCAAGAGAGATAGAGATTGAGAGGCAGAGAAAGAGTATGTTTATGTGTGAGCGTGTCTTTTGCTGCATGTGTTAGTGTGTGTGTGTGTGTGTGTGTGTGTGTGTTTGTCATGGCGCACTAGCAGTGAAATTTTAGTTGCAGTGGGGGGGTTCCCAGCTTAACACCTTATCACGTCGTGGTCATGGGAGTCAGCTCACTGTTGCCGCACTGTCTGGGCTGACTTAATTTTCTGTACTTTTCAACTTAAAGTTTTAGATGTATCCTTGTATTTATGATCATTTAATGCACCCAAAAGCACACTTTTCTGCTCTTGAGACTAAAAAAAGAACAGACATTGTAACTTGTGTGGTTATTTAGTTAGACACCCTGAAGTTGGCAATGCTGAATTGTAAATGTTTTTTGACTAGTAAAAAGTATGAATGAGAAAAATGTCAATATTAAAATAGGCCTGACAAAAACTGTAGATCTTTTGGAACATGAACAACACAACATTAATGAAGATACTCAGAAAAGAGAAAGTTGTAGTTTTGCAATTGTATGCATCCAGCACACAATTCTTGTTCACAAAGACTTGTCTCTAAAACGAATAAATCTTAAGACTTTGAGCTTTTAGTACATCAGTGTAATGGTTTGCTGTGTGGGATGAGGAAGAAGTTATATCATTTCAAGCCTAGATAAAATTGCAAGCTTCTTAACCGGTACGGGCAAAGTTGCTTCAAGGCTGATTACCCCCCCCCCCCCTGTGTGTGTATGTGTCTGTGTGTTTGAGTGTGTCTTATTCACTTTTTTTCTGACTGCATTGAACAAATTCTAGCCAATTTTTAAATTTACCCGTGCTCATGAAATTTTGCACAGCACTTCTGCTGGCCTGGTCCAAATACAAACTCATTTCCATGTGAATGTGAATTATATTGAAAAAAGTTGATTATAAGCTCAAAATATTTTTCAGTTTTCAAGGACTGTTTAGCAATTTAAGTTACCAAACTTTGGCGGTCATTTCCTCGTTAATTTTACCACTGAAACCAAGTGAACTTACGTCTTTCAATCACAAATATCTTCACTTCTGCTTAAGATAGATAGGTTTTTTTTTCTTCAAAAGCAAGACAAATGAACAAGCTTTAAGATGGTACCAATAACTCCACATGCGCAAAAATTGACGAGCGTCTGATTCCACAGCGTCGTGACACAATTATTTTTTATTTAAATCTTGATCCAGTAATAAAAATGTTTTTCTCTTTTGGACCTATATTAAAAACCGCTCTTTGGATGTACACACAGGATCACTGAAATAGATGGCTTACAGTAACTTTGCCTCTAAATTGCTCATTTTGAGACAGCAGCTCCACACTGCCCCCTCATTTCAGTGTAAACTTGTAGATTTCTTCCCCTCGCGGTCGAGACGGCTCCACGTGAGTCTAGAAAATTGCTTGTCCCATCTCTTGAATCATAATTCTTAAGCGAACGTTAGAGTGTGGTGTTGAGTAAAGTGTGTCAACTTTTTAATGTTTTGGTGTGTACTGCAAATCCCATTATGTTTTTGACCCACTTTAGGCGTATATCAAAGAAAACGTGTCGGAACCTTAGTTTGCAGTTATCTTCATGAATGGGCTTTTAGATTCTCTTGGTCATCCAACTTTTGGACCCGTATGCAAAGATCTGAGACAATTAAACAGAGCGATATCAATTTATTTTGTTTTAACTGCATAGTGTATGTATCTGTACATTTTGAAAGTCTGGCATAAAGCAGTTATGAAAGATGCAGAAGTTTTCCCTAGTTTGGCTCAGACTATGAAATTTTTAAATTTCTTGATGCTGTGAAAAGATCAATTTGCCTATGCTTGTTATTTTCTGCCGAATAGCATTCTAGTGGTCCTAAGTTAGTCTGTCTATCTTCAGGTCCACACAGAGAAGATTGAAAAGGAGGCAGAGGCGAATCTTTTGAAACTCATCTGTGATACATACCAGGTACATATTTGACCCATCTGTCTGTCTGTCTGTGTGTGTGTGTCTGTCTATATCTCTGTCTGTATCTCTTTTTCTAAGCTAGATATTAGAAAATAAAGAAATACAAATGGATGCCTCTTTTATTAATCCCTGTATACACCAGTGTTTCATCAAATTGCATAAAACTAAATATGGCACCTATATTAACATTCTTACTCAAACTCACACACACACACACACACACACATACACACACTCTGGAATCATCACTGTGCGTGCCTTCCTAAGTTTCAGAAGTGTTTCTAATTTGACAAAAAAAATTAAAGTGACAAAGAAATTAGCACTGAGATAACAAGTTCTCTCTCATGCTGTGTGTTTTTGATTTATCAAACAAACAAAACAAGACAAAGAAACTACCATTGATCTCCGTCATGCTACCATGTCTCTCCCCAGGGCCAGAAGCCAGCAGCGTGTAACCAGTAAGTTCTAGACATTCCTGAAGAGAGACAGACGAACGTTCCATTTATCTAGAACAATGTCTATAATTAGAACGACTGTTTTAGCGGCATTTTGTAGAAGTGATGGTGATTTGATAGTTCTTGATGTGATAGATTTATGCTGAATGATATTGTGTTTTCTGGATAGGCCAATGAATGTTTGTGTTGTTTCAGCCATTAGTATTAACTCAAACAAGTGTTTGATTAACCCTTTCGCTCTATGAATAGTCTGCAAGCATTCCTCTCATGTTGAAAATGCTTTGGCATCTTTGTTTCGCTTAAAAGTCGGGAATTTGTTTTGCTAACTTTTGACACAGAAAGGATAGACTTGAGGTTATGGAAGGAATGACGGAAAGAGTAAATGGGGAGTGATCAGAAGAGCTCATTTGGGACGTATCTCATGAAAGCATCTTATCTTATAAACTTTCAATGTTTGATTTTCAATATTTGACTTCTGTGAAACTGGGTTTCATTTTCTTATATTGTTCTTTTTGTCTTCTACTTATATTTCTACCGTACTCAAGGGACATCAGTGAGGTCTTCTCGATCGCTTTCCTCACGAATGGGTGCAATGTTCTGTTCTGCTGTTTCTATCTGTTGTAGTTAAGGGTGGTTGGAGGGTACTCATTGTGGGTCCTACTTCTTTTCTCTGCCTCTGTTGTTTCTGTCTGGATTTTTTTCCTGCACTGAGTTGCTGTGGCCAGGTTCGATGTGTTTCTATTTACTGAAGGATGTTGTAAACCAAACTCGCTGTCTTACACTGTTAAATAGTATGATTGCATAATGGCTCCAGCCATTCCTGCCGAAACTGTCTGAGTTGTGTCAAGTTTGATCATGCTTATCGGAACTTGAGCAATACTTACGATGTTGTTGTCTTCTAGGTTTGTTGTACTACAAATATCTACAGGGTAAAACTCACGGTTGTAGATTTTCTGCAGGCTAGTTTGCTGTAGTTTATCTTTGTCTCAGCAAAAGTGCATTTATTACAGTGGAGTCTGCTTAATTCGAAATCCGTGGGGCCTCTAGATTTTCTTTCATTTAACACTGTAAGTTCTGTATAGAGAGATTTCTCAAACTCAGATAGCTAAGAAGAAAAAAAAAAGCATGGCTTTTGTTTTATAGTTTTCCACTGTTTTTGGATTAACCGTGTTTTGTTTTAAGCAGGCCGTGCAGTATGTCGTTAAGACACCTTAGTCATTTCATAGGTCATTCCTTTTAAGAAGAGAGTTGTGAAAGAATTACAAATACGTTTTTGTTTCTTTGCCGATTGTAGAGGGATCTACCACAGGAGTACTATTATGATGATGAGAATGGAATGAAACCACAGTTATCATTGAATATTTTTGTTTGATTTAGTGAGCACCAGCAGTGTGTTTGTTTTTTAGCTCTGTGCTTACCATCCTTGAGATCAAAAGCTGAATAAGTCTCGGGCTCACTTTTTGTGTCTGTACATTGCTTTTGATTATTCTGAACATTCCAAGATTCTGACATTCATTTTTAGTTCAATGTATGCATAAAAAGTGAGTGCATGCGGAACATCTGCATATTTTTGGTTTGGTGTAGACCTCACAGGCCAGTAATTATATTGGAATACTCTTTTTTAGATGTGAGTTGGCCTTTATGGCTATTTGGTGATGTGTTTTAAATAAATGTTCTCAAGAGTTCTTTTGGCAATGTTTATTGGCGAAGTGCATCACAACCAGAGGTCCCACCTTCTAATTAAGTGTACATAGTGGAAAAGGGAGTTAACCACTTATAATTTCCCTTGACCAACTGCAGTGTCTTTCATTCATACTATATCAATCAGAATTTTGTTTTATAAATTTGTGTCAGTAATGTTTTATATCATCTACCTTCAAAACTGTGTACTGACTGTAATATTGTTTTGCTTGTAAACGGCTTTTTTGTATATGTCAAACTTTGCAAAAATGAAGAAACATTAATTATAGTTAATCAACTTTGGTTTGAGAATGATTTTAGAAGTTCAGCATGTGTAACTAATATCCGGTAGTGTGTCAGCTCATCTCAAATTCTGCCAGTTTTGTAGATGATTCTGATTGCTTTTTGTATAAATAGTATAATATCATTCCAGTCACCTGTTTTGATATGAGTTGTACAAAGGAACATAACTGTCTCAGAGATTGCTCTTATTTCTCAACAATTATGTCCCTTGTTTATGGGAGTGTTAAGTTGTCTGCATTTCATAGTGTCAGTTTTATTTTTATCTGTAGCTTAGGCAGTTTTGTTTCGATTTGTGCCCAAGACCTCAAGTGTCTTACTCCAACAGTGATCAATTCATATTTTGAACTATACTGCAGTAATACTCAAGACTCAGAAATGCCTGTTTCCTAAAACTGAAGACAATTTTGTTTTTAAAAAAAAGAATTACTCATCTCATGCAGGTCACATCATTATTTTGTTGACGTAAACCACATTGATTTTGAGTAACTTTTCAAAATATTTTTTTTCTTTCATTTTCTATTGTTCCTTTCTAAGTTTGTTGTTTATTTGTACCCACAGCTGACTTACCGGTACTTTTGTTTTTTATTTTCCCTGATTTATGTTTTTACTACGTCATCTAAACAGTTGGTTTGAGTTTGGTTTTTTTCACTAACTTTTCTAGTCTAACGCTAATAAATCAAATTTCGTATAAACAAAGTCTTATCAATGCCTTTCTTTTTTTTTTTGCTTGGTGTTGTTTTTGTTTTGTAGCACCAGTGGTTGAGTAATAGAGGAAAGTTGGTCAACAAACATAACAGGGCGGGTCGTTGGCGGGTGCTCTGGTGTGGTTTGCTCCTTCTTTCCTATCAAAGATCTATCGTCCTTATCTCCTCTTCTTCTTTTTTATGTTTGTTACTCTCTTGTAACACGCTAATCTTCTGGCGCTCATATGACCTTATGCAGTTGCGAGCGCCGTAAAACCTCTACTGAAACTAAAAAAACATAACAGGAAATGTCAGACATTCTATACTAGTAGCTGACCTGTAGATAGATGGTTACTGGGATTTTTGACTGAAGTGCAAAGCCAGGGCTATGAATGAGAAAAAAAAAAGTATTATTCTCTTATATATTACGGTATATTGTACTGTAATGAACTGTATGGTCCTCAGCTTGTTAGTGTTTGGGAGCCTTTAAAATGGCAGCTAGCACTGTATGCTTCCCAGGAAGTTGAGATTGTTCCAGAATGCTATCAGGTCTCTACAGCGCATGGATCTTGCCTTTGAGTGAGAATTTGGGCTACTTTACAAATGTTATCTTTTGTTATTATGATTGCTCTTTGATAAATGTTTTCACTAGCCCACAATTTTTAAGAAATAAAAAAAAGAAAGGAAGAAAGAGGCCATTCCACTTAAATTTAAATCATAGCAGACGTACATCAAGATAAGCTCGTACATGAGTACATGTAGTAAAATCAGCAGACTCCACAGCTTGGCACATACAACAGTACAGACACTAACAAACACACAACCACAGCATCAAGGTACATAGCACTGAGTCCGGACCTCTTTATAATCATACTATAAAGACATGTGTTCTGTCTGCTTAAACAACACAATATTATAACAAAAATATACATGACATCGTGGACTGGGAGACTCACGGGACACTACTAAGGAATACCTGAGAAAATCGTTAAGCTTGTGAAGGACAGCTATGATGGAACAAACTGCCAAGTCTTCCACGAAGGGAAACTCTCAGAACCATTCCAGGTACAATCCAGGAGTAGAGTGCGACAAGGATGCTTGCTCTCATTCTCACCTTTTCTCGTCATACTGGCAATGGACTGGGTGGGACATGAAAGAAGCCATCAGAGGCAAACACAATGGAATACATGTATAGTGGATCCCTTGGCAGCAGCTGGACGACTTGGACTTCAAAATATTCCAGGTACAATCCAGGAGTGCGACAAGGATGCTTGCTCTCATTCTCACCTTTTCTCGTCATACTGGCAATGGACTGGGTGGGACATGAAAGAAGCCATCAGAGGCAAACACAATGGAATACATGTATAGTGGATCCCTTGGCAGCAGCTGGACGACTTGGACTTTGCAGATGACCTTGCACTGCTCACTCACACACATGCAACAAAAGACTAAGGAACTCAACAGTCTGTCGAGGAGTGTTGGCCTACGTATACATCCGGGCAAGTCAAAAGTAGTGAAGCTAAGGAAAGTTTCAGTTTCAAGCCCTACTGTGACAGTGGAAGACACTCCGCTAGAAGAAGTGGACTCCTTTACCTACCTTGGAAATATCATCGATGGAAAAGGTGGAACTAAGGTAGATCATGTAAAAGCAAAAGTAGCCAAGGCAAGGTCAGCATTCAATCAGTTATTTTATTTTAAAAGTCTGGAAAGCAAGCAACATCTCACTGCGCACCAAGATTCGACTCTTTAACTCCAATGTCTAGTCTGTGCTCCTCTACGGCTATGAATCATGAAACTTGGAAGACAACAAAAACGGTACGGAATAAAGTCCATAATTTCATTTCATCAACAGATGTATGAAGAGTATCCTAAGAATTAAGTTGCAGGAAAGGAAAGGATAAAAGTAAAAATAGGACCAAGAAAGTGGCGATGAATGGGACACACCTTAAAAAACCCCCCAGCAGAAACATTACAAGACAGTCATTTCAATGGAATACACAGGGAGCACGAGGAAGAGGTAGATCACGGTAAACATGGAGGAGATGTGTGGAAAGGGACATAAGAGATATGAAGCTCACTTGGAACGATCTTGGAAGAATGGCCCAGGACAGAGATGAATGGAAGGAGCTTGTATGAGGCCTAAACTCTGCCAGGTGTGGAAGACATTGATGATGAATACGTGAAATATAAAGCGCTCTTCTTAAAGAACACGGAATGTAAGCACTTTGCAATAATATTATGGTTATAGCTACAGAAACAGTTCATTGCGCTCTGTTTGAGATTCTTGATCTCTTTAATCTAAAAACAGAATAAATGACAAGCTGACTTTTGAAGGAATTAAAAGATTTGATCTCGCTAAAACAAATGTTTCAAAAATAGATAATTTGATTTTAGTTTTTCCGGACACAAGAATACGTTTTGTCTTGGGGACCAGCTGAAGCTTGGTTTAAAGATTTCTGTTTGTTATCTTCATATAAAGTACCGTAAAGCATAAAATACAGTCCATTTTTAACACATTTCAAATCACACAATCGTGACAATGGGCACAGTACATCCACCCTTGGCAGTAGGCCTGTTCTTCGAGCAATACCCACGTCTAAACCATGGCTTGGGGGGCTCTCGTGGCTTAGAGGTTAAGGTGTTTGCCTCTCATTCAAAGGTCCCGGGTTCGAATCCGGGTAGCGACCGAAAAATTTTCTTCTCTAAAATTGTCTCCTTTCACCTCCTTTCCTGCTCTCTAGCAATGTTCTGTTGTCTGCTTTCATTTCCACTTTCTGCCCCCACCCCTTCACCTCCTTTGCCCCCTCCTCTGGGCTCCTGACTCTTTCTTCAGCCTTTCTACTGCTACTCCTTGGCTCCTCCTTACTGCTGTCTTTCTGCCACACCCCTGATCTTCTGGTAGGAAAGATCTACACCTAGCCTTCTCGGACAAGGGCGAAAAATCTCGGAGGGCCCGTGTGCAAGTTGCGCACGTTAAAGATCCCTTGGTGGTCTAAAATCGATAAGAGTAGGCTTCGGCCGCCACCCGGCAAAATTCAAAATTTCCTACCAACTGAAAATATTAGGAGTGTCCCGCGCGCTCATATGACCTATGCAGTTCCGAGCGCCGTAAAACACTTTACAAAAACAAAACAAACAAAAACCATGGCTTCCAAACTTAGAGATGACTGTGTCGGATGTAAATTTTTGTTATGCGGTATATGGTATGGTTCCACTGAAGCGAAGTATCATAATTTGATATTTTTATATTTTATATAATATAATAATACTCGACACTATATCATATATACATGAAATAAACACATTTATGTGGTTGTCTTGTGAGGTGGAGAGAGAGAGAGAGAGAGACACACAGAGAGAGAGAGAGAGAGAGAGAGAGAGAGAGGAGGGGGGGTGGTGGAAGAGAGAGAGAAAGAGTACAACTAGAACAGAAAAAGAGACACAGAGGAGAGAGTGAGATGAGGGGTAGGGTAGTGGAGGGCGATTGACTAATAACGAACCCGTTGAGAGATATTTGAAGAGCGCAATATTTTATTATAAAAGAAGCGAAACAAAATTGAATTAAGTACATTCAAATAATTAATAAATATCAAATCGGAAGGTATCAACAGAAAGCGAAAACTAAAGCACAGAGTGACGCCACAGCCTCTGGAAACAGGAGTCATGTGTGAGTGAAGTCTAGATAGCGGGCTGGTTCTTGTAGTCACTGAGATTTGCTTATACTCAGCTCTGTTGATAAACAAGAATAGGTGTTTAACCACTTAAATGAAGAATAAATGAAATGTATTATATTACATTTATTGTCCACTCTATTTTCGGAGGTTTCTTTTCGAAATATGAACAAGCATTTCATTTAGTGATTTACATATACAAATAACTAAAACATTTAATTTTGATGAAATGTGCGAAGTAAGCAGAATAGCAATACACGTGTGAAAGCTAAAAATAATACAAGGGAAAGAAAGGAAAAAAGAAACCTTTGTTTATTGGTGATATACAAGATAAAATAAGATACAAAAGGCTTCCTAAAAAATAAGAACGATAGGAGGGACAACAGTAGTAGTTGAACCAGAAATAGTAATAGTAGTAGTAGTAGTTGTTCTAGAGGAGGAGGAGTCCCTGCTACTGGTAAAATAATAGCCCAGTTACAACCTGTTGCATGGACTGGTGTTCTAATTTTAGCATGACGTCAGAGGGTACATACCTCTCTGGTTTTAGCGGCCAGGGCGGGTGGGGCTCACTGAGCCTTAACGGCCACACGCAAGAGGATTTCAGTGGCTCTCACTGTTTTCCGCGGTTTTTTGGTGTGCAATATGATGTAGTATGTCATAATATGTAACAGATGAAGATCTAAGCATTTTTCCCGGCTGCGGTTTCGAAGTTGGTGGCAGCAGGCCAATGGTAAGCGACCAGGGCGGTTGGCAATAGATCATCTTACTGGCCTGGTTGCTACGGCGTGGGGCAAACACATTATGGTTTCTTGGCCCAGGCACCCAAACCCTAGTCAGCTGGAACTGTGAGGCTCTTGTGGCATCTCTAGGCAGTCTTCCCTGCAATATGGATAGCATTCAGACAACCTCCTGCACCTAAATATTGATCTGATTGTCTTGTCATTATCTCGCTGTCAGATACATTGTACCCAGGCGAGAGAGTGAGCCTGATGTGCGCAAGTCAAACATCTGCTTTTATCTATCCTTTCACTTTTCTTTGTCCTCCACTCCCATCAAAATCCTTCGGCAATGGGTATATATACGGTGGCAGCAGGCTTGCATTGGCTGGGAACTGTTAGCACAAACCGGCATGTTAGGTTGCCATGGGCTTTGGTCGTTTCATTGCCGAGGTGAGGTGACGATATTGATCCTGCAACATCCATAGGATCTGAGCAGCCATTTTAGGGCAGCCCTGCTCACCACACAACGGAAGGGTCTAGAAAGGGTGCCTTAAAGAAGCTCATCTCATCTACACGGACTGGTTCGACGTGATCAGTAGGGATTCCTCAATGCGGTCGAAACAAGAG